GGTCTTGCTCTTGCTCTTACTCAGGCTAGTCTGGAACTCCTGGCTTCAAGCAGTCCTCCTGCCTCAGGCTCCCCAAAGTGCCTGGATTATAGGTGCAATCCTCACTAGCCTCTGATTCAAAATTCTGATTTGACTTTAACATTCTTCTACTCAGGAAGGAGTAACCCAAGCAATGTTATGCCAGGTGTGGTATGGGTTTTGGGGACGCAATGTCTGTTGTCAGCAGGGTATGACCTCATACTGTAGCTTCCCAGTGATCATGAGCTTTTGAGGATATTTGCTCAAAGATAAATCATACTAGTATCAGTATGAATTATAAGGAAATACTATTTTATAGATAAATAAACTGAGGTGCTGAGAATCTTAAAAAAAAAAAAAAAGAAAAGAAAAACAGTCACTCTTAGAGGTAATGGTTAAATGCCCCTGCCTAAGTATTTTCCTATAATGATAATATTCCGATACGCATACAATGCAATCTTTTAGAATAATATTTATTCCCAAATGGTCATGACTTTTACTTATATGTCTAGTTATTTTAAAAAATTTCAACATATGCTAGCACTACCATATCCAATGAAAATTTTTAAAAATGAAAATATGTTTAACATTTGAGAAAAGTTTTTAATAATTTGCTGTATTATAAATTGTCACAACTACATTAGTACTTTAGCTTTTTCCTTTGCACTGAGAGTTACTTAGATGGAATTTTTTTTTTTTTTTTGGAGACAGAGCCTCAACCTATCCCCCTGGGTGGAGTGCCGTGGCATCACAGCTCACAGCAACCTCCAACTCCTGGGCTCAAGTGAGTCTCCTGCCTCAGCCTCCCAAGTAGCTGGGACCACAGGCGCCCGCCACAATGCCTGGCCATTTTTTGGTTGCTGCCATCATTGTTGTTTGGCGGGCCCGGGCTGGATTCGAACCCGCCACCTTAGGTGTATGTGGCTGGTGCCTTAGCCGCTTGAGCCACAGGCGCCGAGCCTACTTAGATGGAATTATTTAAAACTGACCATTTTCCTTACTAAGTAATCAAGATTGAAATTAAGTAAAAGAGTTATCAAAAATAATAATACTCATATGAGTATACAGCTTATTTACAAAACATTTACTCTGCAACAGACAATATATTAAATATTTTTAACTATATATAGTTAAAAAATTATATATGTGTGTGTATATATATACACACACACACACACACTTTAATTTAATCCTTATAAAAATGCTATGAGTTTGGTATTATTACTATACTCATTTTATATATTGATTAACTGAGCCTCAGGAAGTTCACATAAACTCTTCTAGGACATATAGTTGTGAACAACACAAGCAAGTTTTGATTAAATTCTGCCTAACTTCAATGTCCACGCTTTTAGCTACACCATTCTCTTATTTAACATGCTTCTTCCAGGGCCGGTAAGTGTCAAACTATAAGGAAACTTTTAAAGCTCTTTATTCTTTCTGTTAGTTCAAGTAACTCCTCATTCTTTACATTCATGAACTTCCTTGTTCATAAAAAAAAAAAAAAAAAAATTTCTATGTCCCAATGCAGATCTCCTAAATTAATTCTCTGGACATTATGCCTGATAATCGTGATTTAATGAGGAACTTCAGGTCAGTTTAAGAAATTCTTTTTAGCCCCAGGCTTTCCTCTGTTCCTTTTTGTTCAAAACATTTTATTGTATTTATAATATTTAAAGTATAGAATATGATGTTATGAGACCCATATAGATAGTAAAGTACTTTGTTCACTTTTCAAAATAGACCCTCAGGTAGTATCATTCATAAACGGCAATCTCTTCCAATTCTATCTAGTAGAGCTTATGTTTTGCCTTAGGATGTGCCTGTGCTGCTTCTATCACTGGAACAGAAGTTTAGAATGCATATTCATATTTCTAAATTTAATAGTTATGTATTAGGTAAAGCACCTCCTAGATATTCAGGACCATGCTAAACATTGTGAAGAATATACAAGTCAGAAAGTTAAGAAATGCCCCAGAGTCAAGAAAGGAATGTTTACAGGTTTACATTATGTGTATACGTGTATATATAATATATAAATATAAATATATGTCAGATGGAGTCTACAAAGGAGCAGAACTTGGGATCTCAGTGAGAAAATGGAAAAAAATAATTTTCCAATCATCATTCTTTTCATGATGCTGGAACTAATTACATCTGTAATAGGCAAGAACATCATACATCCACTCTTATCTAAGATAAGTTTTTCCTCATAACCTTTACCTGCAGTAATATGGTTTGGCTGCCCTACAATTAGTTCTCCAAATTAAATACCTGTTCACTGAATGAGGGGTGAGGGAGAGGAAGATTCTTTTTAAGCTCATACTTAGTCCAACAGTGTCTTTTAAAAATAGACTATCTGAGGCTACAGATAGTCTATTTTTAAAAGACCTTTTATGTCTACATGGATGGAGCTGGAAAATATTCTTCTTAGTAAAGTATCTCAGGAGTGGAAACAAAAATATCCAATGTACTCAGTACTACTGTGAAACTAATTTACAATCACTCACACATGCATGTGAAAAATGAAACACAACTATAGCCTAAGGATGAAGGAGGGAAGGGGAGGGAGAGGGGAAAGGAGGGGGTGGGATGATATAAGGAAGGTTGGTATGGGGATCACACCTATGGAGCATATTGCAAGTACAAGTTGGATCTATCAGGTGTAGAGCATAAATGTCTTAATCCTGTAACTGGATAAAAGTGGTGAAGACTATGTTGCTTAGTAGGATGTAAGCACTCCAATTTGTACAAATAATCAACACATTGAATCCTATAATGGCAAAAATGTATTTATAGTCTATGTACGAATGACTTAATAAAAAACAATTAAAATAGACTATTGCAAAACACAAGAGAAAAATGTGAAACTACTGAATTTCTTACTGCAATCATTTCTGATAGCACGGATTCATTTCTAATGAGTTTCCTTTGTAGTAACTAGTATTTAATCTCAAAGGAAGAAAAAAGACATAACTTCTCAAGTTTCCTTTGAATGTTTTTTCTTAGTAAGCTTTTGCAGTTGGGGATCATGTTACTTTCCTTAACATGTTGTATTTATTATTCCAGCATGTTAAAAATGTTTTAACAGTGATGTTAATAAGCTTATTTTGTTTTAATATTGAGCAAAACAATATACTCTCAACTATATACACATCTTTCACAAGTTTATAGAAAACTCACTGCAGTTAAAATGAGAACTTCCCAATTCATCAAGTAGTTCTGGATTTGATCATTTGTACCCAATTTCCATCAAAATCCAGGCTTACAGAGAAAGAATTCCATATGGAAAACTTAAGGCTGAATGAGCTTTGGAATTGAGTTTAAAATTGCAGGAAGACTCCCACTGTTTCACTTGAGCTGTCTAAAAAAAAAAAAAAAAAAAAAAAAGAAAAGAAAAAGAAAAAAAATGACAGGGAGAAATTCTATTTTGATTTCAATGTCCACTGTATACACAGCAGAATGACTATTATTTATAAAACAGCATCGGGCACCTAGTTAGGTGAAAAACTGTTAAAACATAAAGTGAAATACATTTCACTGACTAATGTGACAGGCAATCCCTCTCTCTGTCATGATTGCCTGGAGATAGACACACCTTTGCATGTCTTGTATTCATCCTGGCTACTTTCACTTCCTCTGGAGGGCTTTTGAACTTGGATTTGACACCTCTTAAATTTATGCTTTCTCTAAATGTGAAGAGGTTTTCTTTTCATAGGATTTTAGCCTTACTTGGAGTTCAAGTCTAACTCAGATTAAAGAGAAGTAGTCTTGGCTTTAGAAATTCAGTGTTTGTTCTTGAACTTTTTTTTCTTTGTTTTTATGAGGTTAAGCTAAAAACCCCAAAGTGGGACATAATGGCTTTAGAGACAGGAAGGAAATATTCTTTATTCTTTTTTTTTCCATGTAAAAAGTCCACAAGGCTCTTCTGTTGAAAATGCACAGTAGAAGCGCTCCCTCAAAAGCCACTTTCCCCCCCTCTTAATAGCCTTAGAAGAGGCAGCGTTCAGAAAAGATGACAGCATCAAGGGCTGCTAATGTTAGACCACGAAACAAGCTAAGGGATTTATGGCTAAAACCCCTATTTACTATTTATACTTGTCAAAATAGGCATTTTTTTCCCCACCAATAAAATATTTTGAGGTCATTGCCTGTGAAATTCCACAAGAAACAATTTTTCTCCCAAAAAAGAAAAATAAAAAATAAGAGAAAGTTCTTAGATGAGACGTGACATAGTTAGAAATACTTAATATGACATCATGAAGAAAGAAAATACAGGATTACAAGAATGAAAAACATTTGGCTTGTGCATACAAAGAAGGCCATGGAACCTTTTTTGCCTATCAGTTTAAGACTAACTTTCCAAAAACCTTGTAGCCATAGGACATGGTATCTGTGTGAGCTCATATCACACCCAATAATAAATCTTTATTAAAATTATCGAAGTATGAATGCAATTAATTCACTCAGGAAATATTTATTAAGTGTGAGGTACTGTGTGCATAGAAAAAAAAATTGCAAAGCCCCTATTCTGGGGATGGATTGATCTTACATTCTAGAGGGGAATAGAATCCTCCTGTTTTGTGTTATGAACTGTACAGACCCTTGAAAGGATACGACCTAAAGTAATGAAAGATTTGTTTTCCTTCAAAAATAAAAGTTTTCAATTTCAATGACATTTAGTTGTCATTTAGTCAAAAGATGAGAAAGGTTCTATGTTTGAAGATCCAGAGATCAAAGCACCTGGTGTTCTTCTTGACCAAGATAGAATTCTCTGTAATTTTGAAAATTTAATTCAGTTTTCCTGTAATCCTTACAGAGCCCTTGCAGGCAAAGCAATGTTTCTTTAAATATGTTTAAAAGTGTTTAAAGCAATATTTAAAGTCTATACTTAATATAGGCTAATAGATAATATATTCTTCAAATATCAACATTACATTTCATACAATAAAACAACCGCAACAGAGTTCCCCAATACCTACCTTGAACAGTCAGAGTAGCAGACGCTTCAGCTTTTCCAACCATATTTTCTGCAACACAAGTATATGATCCCATGTCGCCAGCCATAACCTTCCGAATTTTTAAAGTATGATCATCTCGGATTTCATATCTAATGACAACAAAACAAAGCATATTCGAATGACTTCCTAATTGAAAAATCTCATCATCATGGACATTTAATATGTCCAAATAATTTAACATTGGATACGTTAAACTTTCTTTTCCTGCCCTACTATAAACCAACTCCTTCTCCTAACACATCTATCTATCTTCCTTTATTAGTTCTCTATAACAAATAAGCCATCCAATTTGTCCATTAGTTTCAAGAATTTCTCTCCAATGTTAGAGCTCTGTCTTCATCTCAACTCCCAGTTCAGACAATTTACCTCTCTTACCTGGACAACCGCAAAAACAGTATCCTTGCCCCTAACCTCTCTCTACAACAATGTAAAGTCCACAGTGCTAACAAATTTATGTTTTCTGAAGAGTGATCCTATTCATGACAACCCCTCTTGGCTCATCAATGCACAGGCAATATGATTTGAAATTTTTTATTGCACAAAAGCCCAAGTAATTTCGCTCCAGCATTTCTGATCTGATACCCCCTAACTTCTCACCACGTACCTTTATTATGCTAGCCATGATATGCTCCACTACTCATATTGTCTGTGGTGTGCTGTCCTCTTCCCTGCCATACTCTCAGCTTATCAAATTGACACATACTTTTCAAGACATTGCTTATGTGTTATGTTCCTTTGAGAACTTCCTCCCAAAATTCTCCCCCTAGGCTGGCACAGGTATACCTTTATGTGTCAAAAGGTCTTGACAATATTATTCTCTATCTGTCTATATATGATTCCTTTTGTTAGCTCCCTGAGAAAAAGAAAAAAAAAGCAACAATAAAAAAAACTATGCCTAAGCCATTGCCATAATCCCGACACCGGGCAGAAGCTGACACATTTGCTGAAAAAAAATGAAAACACTAGAAAAGACAAACCACTGACAATACCTGAAGGCCTTCCTTTATTACCTCATTCCCCAAGTCTCCGTATCCTGCACCTCTGCTCCTGGACAATTTAAGGACTTGATGGACATCAAGAAACTCTGACCCCTCCTACCTTTCCCTGGTGATACTATAGCTGGGGAAACGGAACTCCCAACTTTAATTAGTTCATAGTATGTCTTTAATGCTATAATTTTCTTCTCTTTCCCACTTACTCCCCCACCAAAAAAAAAAAAAAAAAAGGTGATATTGACTATGACCTGGCCAAGTAGAAGAGAAATCTGCTTAAGAAACGTCACATTTTCCAAGAGCTTGTGCAGCCCAGGTCAGACAAACCCTGGCCACCTCCTGATTCCCATTGTGTCTAGTATTGCATGTGGCCCCTGAGGAAGGGGGTCTAGAGTAGACTATTGTAACGACATGTGTGGATAGCGATTCTGACGAGAAGTGTGGAAATGAGGACCTGAGGAATTGCATCGTCACACCGTGCTGCGTACCTGGCTTTGGGCAGCTCTCCATCATCCTTCCTCCATCGTACTGTAGGCACAGGGTCCCCTCGGGCCTCGCACTTAAACTCCGCACTGTCATCCACAGTTACTGCCAAGTTACTAGGTCTCTTCACAAAGGATGGTCTCTCTAAAATTAGAAAGAGCCATCTCATGACACAATAAGAGACGAGTGAACTGAAAAACACTTTAGATGTCCAGGAAGAGAGATCTATAATTTAGAATGTCACTGAGCAAATTATTCCACGTAGTTCCCCACTTCCCACAGCTTCTCCCTAGATTCCGTACTTCCTCCAATTCCTTTCCCCACGTCTTTGACTGTTTTTTAAATCACGTTCCTTTACTACTCCTTCTCTTCCATTTGTACCCCCCAAAATATTGGTTTACCAGTGTTTTTTTTTCTCCTTGTATAATGCTCATTTGAACCTGGTATAAAGGTCATTTCTTTCTCCCTTGCATAAAGATACAAAACAATAATGAGATATATTTTACAGTGAATAGACCACTTACCTAACACAGTGAGTTCTGCTACTTCACTCTCACGTTCCCCAACCATGTTGGTACCAACACAAACATATTTGCCAGCATCACTTTTACGGGTGTAAGTAATCATGAGCTTTCCTCCTCGTATCTTAAAAAAAAAAAGATCCATATGAACACTATTAAAATTGCTTTGGTTGTGTTTATCTGACAGAGGTCTTCCTAAGGGAAGACTACTTTCTAAGTATATAAACCAAATAGCAAGTAGCATAATTATAGGGAAAAGCTGATGTGTAGTATTTGCTATATTTTTAGTAATTTTAAATAGGATTAACTCCAAAGGCATATTGTAAAAGTTATTACACTTTGTGTAAGTAGAAATTTGTGTTTCCGAATAAGCCAAGTTCTTTGATATTATTCAGTTAAATGAAGACGATAAAAATTGCATGAATTACTTAGTTAACAAATAGAAAAAAGAAAAAGAAATCTCAGTACCATACAAATATAATTAATATATCATTACACAGCAGGTATAAGTGATTTCAGGAAAACATATTTTAGCATTATAAGATATTAAAATAAAAATTTCTAATTATTCTGTTTCAGAGTTGGAGGACAGCAATATATCTTAATTGCCAAAACATAAGAGAATTTGCCATTTTCTAAAAAATATAGATGTTATTCCCTCCTAAGCAGTTTCTTGGAGAATTAGGAGGCAGAGACTGAACAGATCCCAATAAATCATTTGGAAAGTCATATTCAAGTACACAGCTAAATATTTAATTAATTGAGTGAAAGTAATTACAAATGTAAACAGACATATAGTACAAGAAGTAGACTAAAACTAAATACAAATTAAGATGGGATGTGCAAATTGAACTATCTTTGCTTAATTTAATACCCTGTTGGTTGACAGTGAAGTTCAACTACTCATGAATATCTGTAGTGCCATGAACTTAGAAAGGGTTTGTGAGGGAAAATTCCAGCGTGTTTATTCATGGAGGTTTTGACCTCTCAGTCATTTTATACAGTGTACCAATTAAACAAAAGAAGGAAGGAAGGAAGAAAAGAAGGAAAGAAACATGCAAACCAAATTATACACCATGGAGTTCACTGAAACTACCATTTTATAAAGTTGGGAGTCACACTGTTTCAGAATGCCAAAATTGCTTTACTTTAATCCAAATACACAAACTAGATAATCCAGCCAAGTCTTTTATTTAAATTTCTGAGACAGGGTTTTGCTCTCTTGCTAGGGCTGGAGTCAACGGTGTGATCACAGTTCACTGCAGCCTTGAGCTCCTGCACTTAAGCAATTCTTCTGCCTCAGCCTCCCAAGTAGCTAGAACTACAGGCCCTCTCCACCATACTTGGCTAATTTTCTTTTTTTTTTTTGTAGAGACAGTGATCTTGCTGTGTTGCCCTGATTGATTTCAAATTCCTTTGTCCAAGTCTTTATGTATCAAAACAAAACAAATATTAATAGAGTTTTAAATTTTTATAGGTTCAGAACTTATTTTTTTCTGTAGTTTAAGAAATAAATGACCGTACTACTCTAGGTATCACTACAACTACTCTCTGGAGCTTTTTTGTTTGTATGTTTGTTTTTGATATGAATTGCAAAAATGATAATAAATGTACTGCCCACGTAATTACTATTAATCATAATTACTTTTCCATAAACTTGAGTTTAATGAAGTTGACATCCAGAACTGTGTGAGTATCATCAAATCAAAATCCTCCTAAGAACCATTATATCCTTTCATCATATACTTACTTTTAAACACTCAAATAAACATTTCTGAAAATCTCAAGGAAACAAAGTCATACTTTAAAATCATTTTTGACAGCAAAAAATTCAATTTCTGAAATGGAAGTTAAGTGATCTGAGAGGTGGTCCTGGATATCTCTTTTTCAGTTCTACAACTATGAACATTACCCACAGCCTCAGCCTCTGCCACACAATCTGACCTTGAATGACTTTGCATATTTAGGAGATACAAGATCATTTCTGAAAGAACTGTACAGCCTTAGATAAACGTTATAACAAAATAAGAGGAAACAAGTGCTTGAAATGTCCTTATTGTTCTAAGTGAGTAAGCCAATCTACAATAAAATGTGAGGGTTTTTAAAATAATTTTAAACCATATTCAAATATGTAGAAAAACGAGAGTCAAAGGATGATGACAGATAAATAATTTCCAATAGCATAAATCCATTTCCACAGCTTTAGTGTAATATAGTGCTAATTTACTTTTATAAATCTTAAGCACTGGGGAATGTAAAGTTTCAAATCAATTTGCTTATACACACATGCACACCAATTAGCATTATATATTACAGCTCATTGCTACTAGATTCTGAAAATAAAACATACAAATGGAGAAGGAAAAGGATTTCGTTGACAAGAATTATGAGGGCACTGGCAGGAGATGCTCAGATAGGGAAATATTCCAATTTTGAGATAAATGGGAGGAAATAATAACTGAGGTTAACCAAAATTAAAAGAGAGCTTCAAAGTCTTGGTGAGTTTGCAGTACACACTCCATTATATGGCTGCAATTATGTATTAAACTTGGCTCAATTTTGGAAAAACCTTTTAAACTTAATCTACCAGGAGCCTTATACTTTGGGAACACAAATCTATGTTTTTGATATTGAATATAAATAGAAAAACTTTCATAAAAATTTATTTGAGAGCCATCTTTTACAACTAAATCACATGTACTATGTAAACATTTTATAATGATCTTCTCTAGCCTTTGTAAGTAAGCAAAAACTAATAATACATACCACTTCGACACATTTTTCAACAAGGAATGCAATTGTCATGACTCGAGTATATTGAGAAGCTTTTCCATTAGTATCATGATCTAACTAAATTCATACGTTTATGAAAGCTGTTCATGCTTGTATAATTTCTATTATCAATGTGCAAAACTAAAACTAATCAAGGCCTGAAAAAGTATTAAACTTACAGAACATATTTTAATAAAAAATGCATTTTTTCTTATAAGACAGGCAAAAGTATTAATCACCAATGACTACAAAGGGGGCAACGAAACTGCACCTCTGTTTTTCTACTCAAAGTATTCTTTTCTTTAATAACTTTTCTTCGAGACAGTCTCACTTTGTTACCCTTGGTAGAGTACTGTAACATCATAGCTCATCGCAACCTCAAACTCTTAGGCTTAAGCCATCCTCTTTCCTCAGCCTTCTGAGTAGCTGGGACTAGAGGTACGTCCACAATGCCTGGCTACTTTACACACAGGGTCTCACTTTGCTCAGGCTGGTTGGGAACTCCTGAGCTCAAGCAATCCACCCACCTCAGCCTCCCAGAGTGCTAGGATTATCAAAGTCAGAATCAAATTCAAAATCAAGGTAAACAAAAAATCTTGTTAATTTTTTTTTTAAATGTCAGGTTAATGTGAGGTTACAAACAACAAAGTCACAATACTTGAATTTGTTAGGTAGAGTCCCACTTATAGTTTGTGTCCCACACTCAAAAGGGATGCCATAAACCCGCCCTTACATTTTGCTCACTAAGTGGAAGTAGCTAAACCCTTCTGTCTCCCTCTTCTCCCTCCTTTATTCCCCCTCAACATGAATTTCAATGAGTTTTTCTCCACTGTAGGAGTTAATTAGATCATCTACTGGCTTCATATTAGTACTGAGTATATTGGTTATTTGCTTTTCCATACTTGTGGTACTTTATTAAGAAGAATGTGTTTCAACTCCATTCAGGTTAATACAAAAGATGTAAAGTCACCATCTTTTTAGGGCTGAATAGTATTCCACAGTGTGTGTGTACATATACACACACTACACACAGTTTGTTAATCCATTCCTAAGTTGATGTGCATTTAGGTTGTTTTCACATCATGTCAATTTTAAGTCAAACTGCAATAAACAATCCAGTGCATATGTTTTATGATAAAATTGTATTTTTCTAATGGGTAGATGCCCAGTCGTGGGATTGTTGTGTCAAATGGAAGGTCTAATTTGAGTTCTTTGAGGATTCTCCATGTTTTCCAAAGAGGCTGTATTACTTTGCAGTCCTACCAATAGTGTGAAAGTGTTCCTTTCTCTTCACATCTGCACCAGCATCTGCAACTTTGGGATTTTGTGATGGGAGCTAATCTTACTGGGGTAGGCGATATCTCAGGGTGGTTTTGATTTGCATTTGTCTGATGATTAGGTCTGATGAGCATTTTTTTCATATGTTTGTTAGCCATTTGTCTTCCGCAGAGAAGTTTCTGTTCATGTCTCCTGCTCAGTGGTAAATGGGATTGTTAGCTCTTTTTTTAATTGATTAATTTGAGTTCTCTATAGATTCTAGCTACGAAGCCTTTGTCAAATTCATAACATGCAAATATCTTTTCATTCTGAAGGTTGTCTATTTCCTTTGATTGTTGTGTCCTTAGCTGTGCCAAAGTTTTTCAGTTTAATTAAGTCCCATTTATTCATTTTTGTTGTTGTTGCAATTGCCATGGAAGTCTTCATAAAACCTTTCCCCAGGCTGACATCCTCAACAGTTTTCCCACACATTCTTCTAGGATTTTTATCATTCATGTTTTAGATTTAAATCTGTTATCCACCCTAAATCAATTTTTGTAAGTGGTGAAAGATGTGGGTCCAGTTTTAGTCTTTTACATGTGGTTATTCAGTTCTCCCCACACCATTTATTGAATGAGGATTCTTTCCCCCAATGTATGTTTTTGTTGGATTTATCAAAGATCAGATGGCTATAAGAGACTGGTTTTATCTCTTGGTTTTCTATTTGGCTCCAAATGTCTTCACCTCTATTTTTGTGTCAATACCATGCTCTTTTGATCACCGTAGACTTATAGCCTAAAGTCTAGTAGAATGATGACTCCAGCTTCAATCTTATCACTAGAAATTGCTTTGTGTCTATGTTTTGTTTTGTTTTTTTCCTGGTTCCATATGAAATGAAGAACTATATCTTCCCAGCTCTTCAAAGTATGATGCTGGTATTATAGTTGGAAATTGCATTGATTCCACAGATTGTTTTAGGTAGTACAGATATTTTAACAATGTTGGTTTTTCCCAGCCAGGAGCTCTTCCATTTGTTAATTACTGTCTTCTTCTATTTCTTTTTTTTTAGGGCTTCATAATTCTCTTTGTAGACCT